TAATGGATACAGTCAAGCAACCAAGAAATTGTAAATAAGGTACTATGAAATTTTCATTGGTATTTTTATAAAATACTGTTACCATTGAAAGAAAACATGTCTAAAAATAAATTACTAAGAAATAAAGTCCCACATTTCTGCACCCTTGCTCACTCCCCATCACTGCTTCTCATCCTTTACCTGGAACCTGACTGCTGGCTTAGACAGGAATGAAGGTGAATTCATGAATAGGATGTCTTTGGACCACGCCCATCCTTACCCAGAAACGTTCTTCCAGAGGCCAAACAATTGGGAAGGCACAGATGAGGCAAGGGGTATTTTGAGAAATAAGATCTAACACTATAGAGAATGTCATTAAACACCAAAGTGTCAGATACAGGGACCTGTTTGTACCTATTAGAAGGAGGAGGAGGAAAAGAAATAGAAAAACAGCTAAAATGCAGAAGACAAATGCAAACAAGCCATGAGAAATTAATAGTGGACGTCATGTGTTGGTACTGAGTTCCAGGTACTTTATATATGCTGTTTTATGTAATTCTCAAAAAAGCCTAATGAGGTGGGTCATTATCTCCGTCTTTCAGTGAAGGTCTCTTTTATGTAAAGGTGGCTGAATCAGGATCTTTCCCCTGTTAGCCAACTTTAAATCATTTCCAAATTCGATGTCAGGAAGGGGAGGGCACACCAGAGGCGTGAGACTGGTTGCTACTTGGGGGGATGAAGAGGACCCTGAGCATCTCGAGGGGAGCGGGGTCCCAAGAGGGAAGGAGACTAGGCCCCGACTAGGCCATGGAGAACCAACAGACCAGGAGCACCCACAGTGGACAGTAAGGAAGAGTGAGCATTTTTATTCATTCGTTTGCTGACACATTTGTTCATTTACCCACTCAACAGCCACTTGCATAGGTTACTATGTGCCAGACACTGTTCTAAGGGTTTTATAACTGTCAGCTCACTTAATACACAAAACAACATTCTGAAGCACATGCTAATGTTATCCTCATTTTACAGATGAGGAAATTGAAACAAAGCTAAATAACTTCCCCAAATATTGTATTAAGCCATTGATTAGGAGTTTTATTTTTACAGCAGTGAGCCTGCCTTGATTAATACAGTGTCACCACATAGATATTTTCTATTCAGACTTAAAGGGCTAATTTTGTGAAGAAGTTTACAAAGCCCAGAGTTGTGACTTCAAAGACATTGAAAAGGAAGTTCAAAAGACATCTCACATTTTGATGTGGCTCAGTTCAAAAGACTGCTGACAAGGATGAGTTTATTTGGATGATGGGGGGGGATTAATACATTGACTACTAATGATCTTTTTGAAAGTATCTATACAGTCTTATTTACAAAATCCCTTGTGAAATGCACTGTCTTTTAAAGAAAATGAGTAAGTTCATCTCTCAGATCCAGGTGGCTGCATGTTCTCGTCTGTTAAATGAACGTTAGGGATGGATAAGCTTGGAAGTACCTTCCAGCAACAACATTAAGCACCAGTGTTCAATTTCCCATGTTGAGGCCGTCTCAAGATGTGAAATTTAACTTAAAGTGGGAGTAACTGCTTTTCACAAACAGTTCACAAACTCAAGGCTGAATTCAAGCCTCTGATCCCAGTCTTCATTCTGAGCCAGGAGCAGAGGCATAAAAAGTCTCTGTTAGCATGTGAGCTTTTACAGACATCAACTAATATAAAAGGACAGCAACTGCACTTTACTTTGGCTATCGTTTTTAGATCGCACAGTGTATGATTCTATGGTAAATAAAGTGATAAGTGGAGCACTCCCCTTGGATGCATGCATACGGTGCCGCCGCGCACTGGAAGGGTTTCTGTGAGAAAGCAGGTTGGCAGAGGCACTGACCTCCTCTCCCTTCCGTCATTTTCTGCTCCCTTTTGTTCTCTGTCCTTTCAGTTCCTCCTCATTAGAGCCTCTGGCTCTCTCATTTTGTGGTTCCATCATTTGACATTGAATTCACCTTTCCTTTTGACAGGATCCGCTGCTTTATATTTTCCTTTTTCCAACTCTGCAAAGATAAAAATCTCATTTCTCAATGAAAACTGAGACTCGGATACAAAGCATACTCAGGAATTGGCTTAATTGACAAAGAAAAAAGAAAATTATTGAAAGAGCCAGGTAACTGATCCCAGCCAAACCCGGTGTTAAATCTAGCGTAGCTGTTATCTTTTTTTCAAACCCAGTACTGAACCAAAACCACTGCTTTTGGAAGGTTTTGTGAAACTTAATCAAACACTGCCGTGGGGTATGTGAGTGAGGACTTTTACAACGAGAATCAGCCTGCATTGTCATGGGCCTGAACCTAAACCAGACTGGAACAACCTCAGGTGTAACTAGAAGCTAAAACCCAAGTGGAACACTTTAAAGTTCCGTTCCATGTAGGGCTAAAGCGGCAACCACCATTCCTTTTCCTAGGTGACTCAGTAGTCTCTAAAAATGAACAGATTTGTGGACTTGAGTTTTGCCCTTCAGTTCAGTTCAGTTCAGTCGCTCAGTCGTATGTGACTCTGCGACCCCGTGGACTGCAGCACGCCAGGCTTCCCTGTCCATCACCAACTCCCAGAGCTTGCTCAGACTTATGTCCTTTGAGTCAGTGATGTCATCCATCCGTCTCATCCTCTGTTGTCCCCTTCTCCTTCTGCCCTCAATCTTTCCCAGCATCAGGGTCTTTTCCAATGACTTGGCTCTTTGTATCAGGTGCCAAAGTACTGGAGTGTCAGCTTAGCATCAGTCCTTCCAATGAATATTCAGGGTTGATTTCCTTTAGGATTGACTAATTTGATCTCCTTGCAGTTCAAGGGACTCTCAAGAGTCTTCTCCAACACCACAATTCAAAAGCATCAATTCTTCGGCACTCGGCTTTCTTTATGGTCCAACTCAAGTGGGTTTTTACTTATGCCACGAACTACAGTTATGTTGTCATATTCAAGTCCACGTGCCTGATGCACAGTGAGGCCAAACAAACCTAAATATCAAAGATTGGAACAGAGAAAGGTTTATTGCAGGGCCTAGCAAGGAGAATGGGTGACTTGTGCCCAAGAAAAGCCCAAATTGCCCAAGGGTTTCAGTAAAGCATTTTTAAAGGCCAGATGATAGAGGAGCATCCTTGGGGTTTATGATCAGCTCATGTATAAAATTCTCTGATTGGTTCATGTTGAGGTAACAGGGCAGTCAATTCTTAGAGACCCGTGGTTTGAGGCAGGGGGTGGGTGGCTAGTTATGATCACCAAGTAGTTAATGACTCCCATTGGTGGTGGTTTTAGCATCTGAAAAACTCAGGAAATGTTATCAGATACTATTCTCTAGGTACTTCAGAGATAAGCTATAGCAGAGAATATGAGGAAGGGGGTCTGTCCCAGGAAGTCCCCATAGGGTCTGCTCGGCTATGGTTAGATACCAAATCCTCTCTCTCTGTCTCTCTCCCCCAGCCCAGGCTTCGCACCCCTTTTCTCTCTGTCCTTCCTCCTTCCTCTTTAGCTCTCTCTCCCCACTTCTCTCTTCTTTTCCTTTGATTAGGGGAGGAGGTAGGCAGGAACATCCTCTAAGGCACAACCCTTTTTTCTCCCTTAAGGGGTCTAATTATCTCATGAATTCAGCTTCTAATCTCTGCCTATGATTTCTACTTTCTGTCTCTAGTTCTATCCTTTCGCCTAACTTCCAAGGTCTTTAGGACACATTCACACTGATGTAGTTGCAGCTTGTCTTCAAGAAAGCTGCATCAGTTTCTTCCCCCTTTGAGACATGGAGCCTATTCCTTCACCCCCAGTGAATCCGGGAAAGGGGGGCTGTGACTGCTTTGACTAACAGAATATAAGGAATGTGATGCTGCAGAACTTTGAAGAGTAGGTTTTAAGTCACCTTGCAGCTTCCACTTGGGTCTCTTAGAACATTAATTCTAAGAGGAGCCAGCCCTGGGGGAACCCACCACCGTAAGAGAATCTAACCACCCTGAGACCTCCATGTCGTCAGGAAGCCCATACTAGCAACAAGCAGAAGCTGTGGAGGGAGTGACACCCAGCCAGTCCCCAGGGGCCCAGACATCACAGCCCAAACGCCAGACAAACATCAACCAAGAAGTCGTAACTCCAGCCCTAGCTGCCATTTGACTGCAATCCTATAAGGACTCCGTCCCAAGTGAAAACTACCCAGTTGAGCTTATCAGAATCACAGAATAATAAACAACCAGAAGAGACATCTAAGACATTTCATTCAATAGCTGATTCTTTCATTCACTTAGCAATTGTTCATTGAACCTTACTACATGTGCAGCAACTTGCAAGGTACTAGAAACAAGTGATGAAGAAACCAGACCCAATTCTTGCTTTCATGGGGCTGATAGTCCTTCAAAAGGAAAGACTGAACAACAACTGATCAATTGCTTCAAACTTCTAATATCTCTCGTTTGCTCTCATGCTCAGCTGGTAAACATTCTTTAATTTTCCATTGAGAAATGGAAATAATCGAGGAGGGATTCCTTCACTTAGGGACCTAGGATGTTAACTCCTAACCTACCAGCATCTCTGTGGAACTCTTCACCCACTTTCTCTCTTGTTTCTCTGAATGAAGTGTCTCTGGAGTTTACTCCATCCACTTGAGCCCTGGATCTCATATCCTTCACAGTGACTTCTCCATCACTTTCATCAGAATGCAAACAACTCCCACATGATCTCGACCAGGCCCTTGGTGTGAAATACCATCTTTAGGCTGATAGCCCAGGAATCCCTCTCTCCAACCTTGATCCCTACGCAGACCCACAGACTGGTATATGTCTAAAAGACACACCAGGCCTCACACAGAACTCTAGATTTCACGGGCTCCCTTCACTCCCCATCATGCTTCTCAGCCCCAATAAATGGCTGCTTCCCAATCCCACCTGGAGAACAGACGAGTGATGCTTGCCTCCTCTCTTTGTTTCACGCCCACCTCCGGTCCAGCAGGCAGCCCTATGACTCTACGTCCAAAACATCCACAGGTCGACTCACTCACCTTCGGCTTCAGCTTCTCCATGCTGGTGCAGGTCACCATTCTCTCCCAGCAGACTGCTGAAATTTCAAGCCTCCTTACTTCCACTCTTGTGCCTCCACAGTCCCTTTTCCTTACAGCATCCAGAGTATCTTTCAGAAGTGTAAATTATTATTGCCTGATTCTTCTCTTCAATGACTTCCTCTGCACTTGGAGGGCTTCCCAGGGGGCATAGTGGTAAAGAGTCCCTGCCAATGCAGGAGGCATGGGTTCAATCCCCGGGTCAGGAAGATGTCTTGGAGGAGGAAATGGCGACCCACCCCAGTATTCTTGTCTGGAAAATTCCACGGACAGAGGAGCCTGGCAGGCTACAGTCCATCAGGTCACAAGGAGTTGGACAGGACTGAGCACACGTCGTACTTAGAAAAGCTTGCGTCTTTGTGTCCTTGTTTCTCTGATCTGGCCTCTCAGACTTCTTTGCATGTGACTCCTGCCTTCATCTACTGCTTTCTAGCCGTGAGGTCTTCTTTCCCTGCTGAGACAGGCCAAGCTCACTTCTATGCAGGGCATTTGCACTACCTGCTGGCCCTAGTCTTGACTTGGCTGACTTTTGCTAGTCAGCCTCCAGCTTCAGCGTCTCCTTTTCAGACTATCGAACCTAGTGTGACGGCACTCTGTTTTAATTGTTTGCGAGCACTGCTTACTCTGACGTTGTTCATGATTATGTGTTTTTAACTTATTTTTTCTCATCACCTGCACCTAGAAAGTAAGCTCCACGAGGGCAGGCGCTTTGTCTTGTTCTCTGCTGCTTCCTCAGCTCCAAAACAGTGCCTGGCCTGTAGGAGGTGCTGCATCAATGCTTGTTGATGAACGAATGAAACAATCAGTGGTGTGATGAATATGAAGAGTGTCCGGTGCTTTGGGAGCACCTCACCTGTGATGACGAATGGACTGACCTAATTTCAGAGGCGTGGAGTGGGAACCATTTTCCTGAGAAGGTGGAAGTTTAAGTGAAGATCAAGGTCTTCCCTGGTGGCTCAAATGGTAAATAATCTGCCTGCAGTGCAGGAAGCCCGGGTTTGACCCCTGGGTTAGAAAGATCTCCTGGAGTAGGCAATGGCAGCCCACTCCAGTATTCTTCCCTGGAGAATCCCATGGACAGCGAATCCTGGCAGGCTAAGTCCATGAAGCCGCGAAGAGCTGGACATGACTGAGCGGCTCAGCACACAGCACACGAAGGATAAAAAGGAGAAAGGCGCGAAGCGGGGCAAAGGGCAGGAGGTCAGGCAGAGCAGCCCCGGGGGGGGGCGAGGAATGCCGGCTCCCGGGCTGCCTGAGGGGAGCTCTCGGGGAGAGAGGCCGGCGGGTCCGGTCCCAGCTCAGGGAGAGAGGCCGGCGGGTCCGGTCCCAGCTCAGGGAGAGAGGCCGGCGGGTCCGGTCCCAGCTCAGGGAGAGAGGCCGGCGGGTCCGGTCCCAGCTCAGGGAGAGAGGCCGGCGGGTCCGGTCCCAGCTCAGGGAGAGAGGCCGGCGGGTCCGGTCCCAGCTCAGGGAGAGAGGCCGGCGGGTCCGGTCCCAGGGGGGCTTTTCGCGTTCCCAGGCCGCTCCTCTCTGCCCTGCCGGGGCCTTGCTCATCTTGTCGCCAGGCTGGCATCTTCCCGCGCGTGCCTCTGCCAGCGGCTCCTCTGTCCTCCCACGGGGCCCGGGGGCCCTGGGGCCCCCTCTGCTTCCTCAGTCAGCGCGCCATGCCCCTCAGGGAGGGTCTCTGTCCCGCTGGCCACCCGCTCCAGGCCCCCTCCTGTCTCTGAGGTCAGCACCCCCGTGCCCGTGTGGCGGAGAGGGGCAGCTTGGCCTTGTGCTCACGGTCAGCCTCCGTCTCAGCCCCTCGGGCGGCCTTCCGTGGACTCCCCTGGTCCTGGCTGCACCGTCCCACCCCCTCAACGCTCCCACACCAATCCTGCCAGCCCGGAGCCCCCGCCCTGAGGTGGCCTTCAGCATGAGCCTTCTCCAACCAGAGACCTCAGCGGCCTCTTAGCTCCTGCAACATCCTCTCTCAGCCCCATCACCAGGCTCCACACCCCCATCCAGCCTGACCCAGAGCTCCTTCTGAAGACTCTTGCTCCACAGGGCAGTGAGCACACCAACGCCTTCCCTCCCACAATTCTGCACCCCCCTCAGCATGACCTCCCTTCTTCTCTCGACCACTCGAGTCCTTCTCCTCCACGGAACCTCTGCCCGTCACTCAGTACACGGCTGTGACAAAGAGCTCTACGCCTGGAACCGGACTGCTCCGCTCCACCCCACTCCTGCAGTGGAACCGTGAACAAGCTAGCCTCTCCCCTTCTCTGCGCTTTGTTTTCCTCATCTGCAAAATGGGAACAATAATAGTGTCTGGTTCATCAGGCTCTTGTGAAGATTGCATTCAGAGCACTAATAAGCGTTTACTAGTATTATTGTTGCTGTTATCACCTGTCCATCTTTTCCGTCCTGAACTCAGAAAGCACCCAGGATAGCCCACATCACAAATGTAACACTCGGCTTTATTCCTAATTGTATTTTTCCCTATTATTTCCTGGGACCCCCCAGGAGGAGCCTCATTTCCTTGAAGACAGAGAGACAACAGAGGCTGTCTTGTAAGCCAACAGTCCCAGGGAAGGCTGAGATGAGTCAGAGCCCCGGCTCTCAAGCCGTTCACAGCTGAGGAGAGGGAGACCAACCTGTAATCACCATTCCAACACCAAGGAGTGTGGAAGTGCAGTAGCCTTCTTGGGAGCACTGAGAAAGAGCTTTCTGGAAGGAGGACTGTCCAAGCTGCAGGCTGAAAGTGCAAGCATCAGATCACAAAGCCAGGAGTGGAGGAGACGGTAAACATGTCGCACTGGCCCTCACATACCACATGCTCCTCCTTTCCTTTCAATGGAAGCACTTACTCCACATACAAAAAGCACTGACAAGGATTTTAAACCCCACCGAAGCTTTAAAAACAGGGTCTAAGCAAGCTACGCTGCATGACTCACAGCAGCTTATCCTAAAATATCTCATCAGCCGTCCGGGTCATCTCCACAGCAGCCACTCAGAAATGTCCCCTGGCTCCTTTCTCCACTCTTCTCTTTGAAAACTTTCCCCCAAAACTGCTCCAGGCTTGGCCACTTCCCTCTCCCCTCCCCACTTCTGCTCAGCTCTTCACTAAAGAGACACATTTAGCTTTTCTAGGCCTCCTTCAATTCATCTTTTATTCTCAGCAGCAACCAAAAGCCAGGCTCCAAGGTTTCCCTGGAAAGGAAGGGGGAGGCTGCAAACTTTTATTACAGTAGACTTTCTCTTCTTCTCTATCAGATCCTGCCTGGTAAAAGTTTTTCTCTTCTCTAAGAAAAGGACGTGGGCTTCTCTAGGGGCTCAGCAGTAAAGAATCCGCTTGCCAATGCAGGAGATGTGGGTTCGATCCCTGGTTCGGGAAAATGCCCTAGAGAAGGAAATGGCAACCTGCTCCAGTATTCTTGCCTGGGAGATCCCATGGACAGAGGAGCCTGGTGGGCTACAGTCCACAGGTTGTGAAGAGTCAGACACAACTTAGTGACTAAACAACAAGAGGACATCACATCATCCAGGTCATCTTCCAAACTCAGCCCACCCAACAACCTGCCCCAACCCTCGTCTCCTACTGGACTGAGCCAGTTTCTCCTCTGACATCGGCAAGGTTGGGGTGGGGAGAGTTGAGGCTGCCTGCTTCTGTGTCTTTCATAGTTCCTTCTAGAACAATGAATTTTGAAATTTTTTTGAGACCCCCTGTAAGAAATACATTTTACATTACAGCCAAGGGCACACATACGCACACACACACATACCCCACACTACTGAAACAGAAGTTTAATGAGACATTACATAACCTTTGTGCTGTATTTTCTATTCCATGTATGTTATTTTTAAATGGGAATAAGCATCATCTTCTAGGGATACAAACTATTCACAGATAAAATGATCCAAGGTCTGTAACTTGCTTCAAAATACTTGAGGTGTAGATGAAACAAGATTGAATATGAGTTCATAACTGTTGAAGCGGTGAGAGGCACACGGTACATGATGGTTCATTAGCTATTTTCTCTAATATTTTATATAGCTGGTATCTCCCATAATAAACAATTTAAAACAAAACAAAAATATTGGTGATGCCCCACAAAAGTGATTTTACAATCCATAAATAGGCCAGGAACTACATGTAAAATACATTCTAAAAAGCCCAGGAGTTGGGAAATTTGAAAAAAAAGTCAACATGTAAATTTAATCTGTTACATACTCCATCCCCCTAAACAAAGTCTATTCCTCCTTCTAGGATTCAGAGTTGGAATGTTTGCTGAGTTTTGTTTCCCTGCAGCATACAGTTGTTTCTAGGTGTCTGTATGGATGAGAAACGAATATGGTAGGGTAGGGAAAACACTTTGAAAGGATGGCAGAGACGGTCAAAGCCCCGTATAGTGTCTGCTTCAGACAAACAGAAAGGGAGGCGATCATTAAATTCAATCTAGACAGTGAGCTTTCACCAGGAATAATGCCACTTGTGCTCATCATTTGCTCCTTCCAGAATGCCGTTTGTTTGTGTGTGTGTGCGCTAAGTCACTTCAATCCTGTCTGACTCTCTGTGACCCCATGGACTGTAGCCCACCAGGCTCCTCCGCCCATGGGAGTGTCCAGACAAGAACACTGGAGTGGGTTGCCATGCTCTCCTCCAGGGGATCTTCCAGACCCAGAGACTGAACCCAAGTGTCTTTATGTCTCCTACATCGGCAGGCAGGTTCTTTATCACTAGCGCCACCTGGGAAGCCCCATATTATAGTCATTTGATGTCAAATTGCCAGTCTCCTGTGTTATGCCCTCCCTTGATAACCTTGTGGAGGCTACTGTCTTACGGGAGCTCCTGGCTGAGGAAGGGTGGGTGGTGCCTGCTGCCTACAGTGTAGCGGAGGCCCCATGTCCCCTCTGTACCAGATGGCAGTTGAGCTTATCTGGGCCTGCCTCTGCACCCCGTCCCCGCCAGCTCTCCTGAATGGCGTTGTCTGGGCAGTGACAGG